ACCAGAAGGCTGGCGGTTCAAACCCACCAGCCACTCCTCGGAAGGAAGGTTGGGCAATCTACTTCTGTATTGATTCTGCCTCGGAAACCCAAGGAGGGGGCGCTATGAGTCGGGTCCGACTCGACAGCACATAACAGCAACATGAGCTTCCAGAAGGAAACAAACACCCCATTGCTATTGAGTCAATTCCAGTTCACGGAGAACCCCATGAACTGGAACCGACTCAAGAGTATTTTCTTTGCTGTGCTATTTACAGAAGCATATGGTCAGGCCTTTCTTCCATGGCACCACTGGGAGGATTCGAACCGCCAACCTTTAGGGTAATAGTCAAGCGCAGACAGTTTGCACCACCCAAACGGCCCCTCACTCTCTGCAGAAGAAGAACTGATCCCTAACTTTACCTGACGCTCTGTCAATGTTTGAGCTCCCTTTGGGTGCCTGTTATCGTCAAACCGGATACAGCTTTTTCATTTAGAAAAGTTCTTGAAATATGAATGATTTAAGTTATTGCGGTTGAGGGTATTTGACTTATGTTCTTTGCAGGCACTTCCTGTTTAACATGGAACAAAATATCTAAAGCCCCGAGCTTCCCCAGACAGCTGCCAACGGTCAGCGCCGAGGGGGCTCTGACTCACTGCAGCCCAAAGGCTGGTTGCCCAGCAGGAGAGCACCAGGTCTTTCTCCCAAGGTGCTCTGCGTGGACCAGGACCTCCACATTTCAGGGAGCTGCTGGGTGTGTGAAACCCTTTGCACCTCCCCACGGGGACTGCTTTCCCAGGTTGTTGCTGTTGGTCAGTGCTGTCAGTCAGCTCCGACTCATAGTGACCCCAGGCACAACAGAGTGAAACTCTGCCCCATCCTGAGCCAGTCTCACAATCCCTGCTATACCTGAGCCCATCGTCACAGCTACCGTGTCAGTCCATCGCATGGAGGCCCTTCCCTTTTTTCGTTGACCCTCCACTTTACCAAGCATGAGATCCTTCTCCGGGGAATGGTCCCTTCTGACAACATGACCAAAGTAGATGAGATGAAGTCTGGTCATTCTCGTTTCCAAGGAGCATTCCAGCTGCACTTCTTCCAGGACAGGTTGGTTTGTTCTTTTAGCAGCCCATGGGACTTTCGGTATACTTCACCAACACCCCAACTCAAAAGCATCAACTCTTCTTCAGTCTTCCTTGTTCATTGTCCAGCATTAACTGCCTTTAATTTTTTTCCTGAGTAAATACCATTGGTTACTCTGGCCCTTGAGAAGTGTGGCCAGTGCACAGGCCGCCTGGCCGGGACCCTGGTGCCCCAGAGTTTGCCCTGCATCGGTGAGGAGACCAGCTCCTGGAACTGAAATGGCTTTCTCCTCACTGGCATCCGGCTCCTTTCAGAGACTTCAGGCAAAGTTAGGAAGAGAAAACTCACTTTCATTGTATTGAATTTAGACCAGTCTTTGCATCTGACCAAAACCGAAAATCCATTTTGACTAGCTTTCACCAATCTGAATTATTCAAACACTTGCTGGATAAGTCATTTTGATCAAGGACGCTTTATTATGGCCTGTGTCTGTAATACACAGGGGTAATCACTCTAAGATGATGCTTGCCATAGACACCTGCACCCACGACCTGCCCTCAGGACTCTGGGAAGTTGTCAGGAGAGACGAATGGCCAGGACGTGGTCCTGAACGGGTTTTTTTCTTGGAACGGTTTAGCCTGGCCTTTCTGTTACCCACTGCACAGGGTTTCTATGGACAGAAGTGGCTGTGCTTGTCGTGAGGTTTCATGGGGATCCTCTGTGTAGGCGGGCTTTAATCATTTGGGCCATTGGCACTTGGCAGCAGGTGGTTCACACGCTGGTTTGGTCTGGGCATGGCTTCAAAGCAAACACCTGTCAGACCATCTGGCTCAGCATGGCAGAAACCGGCGTGCCGTTGTGCTAGACAGAGGGGGTCTGGCTCATTCCTGGAGTTCTTCCCTAAGACGTGCACAGGAAGTCCTGGAAACTACAGCTCTGTCACAGAGGAGTGGTTTGGTTCCATACACACCCACACGCTCATACACACACAGACTCACACACACTCACATACACGGTGTGCATGGCCTGTCTGTCCGCTGGGCCTCAGATGCCCAGGCAGCCTCTAGGTGGCTAGGAATGAGGCAGTACGCCTGGGCGGGGACCATTCCTGGGGCAACTCTCATCGGTGATGGAGCCAACATACAAGACCCTTACAATGTGGACAAAGTGAAGGCTGGGGCTCTGGGTAGAAAGCAGACAGCAAACAAGAAGGACAGACTCCCAAAGGGGACATTCACCCCTTTTCAGTCGCCATGCCCAGCCAGGGTCAGACCACCCAATTAGCACAGTAAGCACAGATTTACTTGTGCTCATTTATTAATCTTACTGAATAACTTCACATCTTTTCACATATGCAAGATTCTGCTCCTGGGTGTGGCTGGCGTCTGTCTCTCTCCCAACTCCATAGCCCCTTCGTATAGAATCAAAGCCTCTGTTCACATTTACAGTCCCTGACAGAGATGAGGGACCCAGTAAGCAAAGTAAGCATGGTCTTACTCGTGCTCACTTTCTAATGTGTAGTGAATAGTTGCATACATTTTCAACCGTATCAGCATACGTGGAACTGCACACTACAGATTAGCAAGTAAGCACAAGTTGCCCGTGCTTACGTTGCTTATTGGGAATCTGCCCGCTTGTCCCTGGGGATCAGGTCAGACGCTGTGTCATGTCACCACTGCCTTGGCTACCCCAAGTTGCTCAGGGGCCCGCACGGCTCCCGGGGCGTCTGTTCCCCTGCTGGGCCCACTGGGCCTTGCCTCACTGGTGGGAAGACACACACAGCCTCTCTGAGCCTCTGCTGCTGGCTCCCACCACACTCCTCGGGCCCCTGCCGCTCAGGGAGGGAGGAGCCCCACCACCCCTGCACGGGGCGCAGTCAGGCCTCTGCCCTGCACAGGCACGTGTTCCTCCTCCTCCAGCTTCTCCAGAAGCCTCCTGTCCGAAGGCGTCCAGCTCTCTCACTCCCTCCTCCTGGTTCCTGCCGCCACGTCTCAGCGTCTCCATTGTTACAGCCCTCTCTTCTGGGTCTAGAAGTTCTCAGTGCAGGGAATCCAGGTCCTTGGCTCCCAACTCTAGTTCCTGAACAGTGAGGGCCTCTGGAACCTCTGTGGAATTGACCCTGCTGTAAGGAAACTCCTTGTCAATTTCAAGGTCTGGCCTTCCTGCCAGGACCGTGGAATAATGACCAATCCCTTGGACAGACCACAAGTCACTCAATTTGCACAGTCCTAGCCAATCATGGGGAGCTCTGGTGGTGAAGTGCCTAAGGCACTTGACTGCTAACCAGAAGGTTGGTGATTCAAACCCACCAGCCACTCCTCAGAAGGAAGACTGGGCAATCTACTTCCTCAGTGATACTGCCTGGGAAACCCAAGGAGAGGTCACTATGAGTCGCAGACGACTTGACGGCACATAACAACAACAGCCAATCATGATATGAGAGTTACAAGACCATGGTTAGAAAGGCCATATGAAGGCAACTCATCACAACACATGCACTCACTCACACATACACTAACATACACACACACACAGACACATACTCACACTCACTCATGCAAATGCACTCACATACACACACACACTCTTACTCTCACATTCACATACCCTCACCCACAGCCATGCACACACACACACACCTCACATTCACTCACACTCTCACACACACTGTCACATACATACTCACATACAAACACACAAATACCTAGACACTAACAGACTGGGTATATCCCACACACTTACACACACACTCACACTCACACACTCATGCAAATACACTCACATACACACACACTCATTCACATACCCTCACCCAGTCACACACACACCTCACACTCACACACACAAATGCTTAGACACTGAGACTATATATCTCACACACTCTCATACATACTCATACATTCACACTCTACACACTCTCACAGGTACACAGTCACATCCATACTCACATACACACACACACGAATGCCTAAACACTAACGGACTGTATATATCTCACACACACACTTACACATTCATACACAAATGCTTAGACAGACTGTGTATCACACACACACCTTTTCACATACTATTAGACACACACAAATGCTCAGACAGTGACCGACTGTATATATCTCGCACACTCTCACACATACACATTCACACTCTTACACTCACAGGCATACTCACTTACACACTCTCACATGCACACAACTTCCTAGACACTAACAGACTGTGCATATCTTAGTGTTCCTGTCTCGTTTCTCTGGAGAGCCTGACACTAGGATTGAAAGTCACTGGTGAGGTTCCATGTGTGCTTGATGCAGTCTGAGGGGACCGTGGGAACTACCCCGGGACCTGCTGCCATGAGCTGATGGAACAGGGGTCCCGTGCACATCTTGCAGGCTTGGGGGAGCAACACGAGTCATGCCTGACACCCGTCTCACAAAGCGTCATCCTTGGGTTTCCAAGCGTTTAGTCTGATGACACGCACAGACATCCAGAATGTGACCTGGCCAGTCTCCCTGCAGGTGCAGCATCCACTGCCCGCATTCCTGGCATTTTTGAGCCGTAGACTTCTCTGAGAACAGTGTGTGCACTTCAGTCTAGACTGTGTGTAGTTCTCTTCCGGTGTGTTCATTGCTGTGGTTTGGCTTCACGTCGTCGCACACCCCCAGCTCCCGCCGTGTCTCTCACCTGGTTCTTCCCCTCAGCAGATCTGGGCTAGTCCGTGGCGTGCGCCCAGCCTGGTGATGGAAGATGCTCTCCCAGGGCTCACACCCTGCCCTCTCTGGCTCTCGTGGTGTTCTTGCTGCCCAGTCTCTGGGTCTCCACGTGAAAAATGGTGCCTTCAGTAGGCCTTACCACATGAGCCCAGGAGCTGGGGCAGCTGCCCCCACACACCCAGAGGCAGTGATTTGTGGGATCTGGAGGAGACTTAGTTTTGTGATGTCCCTGTCAGACTTTCTTCTCTGAGCTCTCCGAGCCTGGAATATCAGAAAAGGTTGCTTGCTGTATGTCTTTTCTGGAGCTGCCCTAAAACTGTGAGGGCACAAACTGAGGGCTTCAGAGAACACATCTTTGTTTTGCACTGTCCTGAAAGCAGATTCAGGGGGTCAATGGACCACACTCCCTCTGAAGGCTCCAGCGAGGATCCTGCCTTGTCTCTTCCAGCTTCTGATAGTCCCACACGTTCCTGGCTTCTGTCAGCAAGCTCCAAGCTCTGCCTGGCTTCACATGACATCCTTCTTCTGTGTCCAGCTGACTGTCTGCATCTCTTCTCTTTCTATAATGACACCAGTCATATTGGATCAAAGGCCCTTTGCACTTTAGTGTAAACTCATGTTAACTGATTGCATCTTCAAAAACCCTGTCTCCAAACAGGGTCACATTGACACATACCACGGTGAGGGCTTGACCACATATTCTTGGAGACACGATTGAGCCCACAACTTGGTGAATGGGATTCCATGTGAAGCCCTGTTTTCTTCATGCCAGACTCAGAGTGTGGTGATCATTAGGCCCAGAGGACAGTCCTGGTTTTCTTAGATATGCTCCCGATTTTGGTATCATCCCTCCCCTCCCTGAATGCCACCTAGGAAAGGAATAGGGAAGTGGGGTGGATGGAAACTTAAGGCCCTTCCCCTGATTTAAGCCAGTTAATGGAAAACTTGTCCTAAGAAATGAGCTGCCGCATCCTAAGAAATGAGCTGCCGCAAAGCTTTGACGTGGGGCCCTCCAGGGTTCCTTCTAGAAATTTCCTCTTTGCGTGTCTGAGGCTCTGCTGTTGGTTCAGTTTTTAGTCTTGGGTCCTCTGAAGTGCCCATACAATGCTACCACGTGGCAAGTCCTTTCCTGGTGCCAGTGGGTCCATTAAGGATGGGGACGCATTGTTCCCAAACCTCAGCACTAGCCTGAAGCCTCGGCGGCCATTGCAGAGGGACAGCTGAGGTCTGGGAGGTGAAGGAGGGCCCGTGGCCGCAGCTGGTCGTCCCTGCATCTGGAATCTGAAGGCCTTCTCCCCTGCTCCCGGCGCTGCTGCTCAGAAGGGGAATCCAGCTCCACGAAGAAGAAAGGGACCAGTGCTGGCCGGTGTAGGGCACTTCAAGGGGGGATTAGAGAGCATAGGAGCAGGTTACCCCACCCAGCACGCACCTCCCAGCAATGATGAGGGCTGGTTTGAGACTTGGGGAAGGACCCAGCATGTATACACAAGGAGCTTTGCTCCGGGGCCCAGTGTGTTAACATCAGTCCTGCTGCTCTGAAATATTTTAAGGACAAACCCAAACATGGAGTTTTCTTTGTTCTTGCTTTGTTTTTTTAATCAGAAGGATAACTTTTGTGTAAATTTTCTTTGGGGGGGGGAAAAATATCCTTTTCCAGCATTGCCTGTAACCTGGAGAGACTATGCCAGTCCATGGGATCTCTGGTGGCATAGTGCCTAAGGCATTTATTTGACTGCTAACCAGAAGGCTGGTGGTTCAAACCCACCAGCCACTCCACGGAAGGAAGACTGAGTAATCTACTTGCATAGAGATACCGTCTCGGAAACCCAAGGAGGTGTCACTATGAGTCAGATTTGACTTTTGCTTATGCCAATCTGTGTACATTTTTAAATTCATTGTGCTAAGTAAAATTAATACTTTTTTCCTCTGCCACAAACAGCCCAATCTCACAAACAGTAGAGACTCCAACATCAGACTCCTGGGGTTCAAATCCTGGCCAGTCCTGGCTATTTCCCCACATGAACAGTGGGAATGGTGATAGTGTATTTGCAGGGCCTTTTCGAATGGCCCAACATGATGGGGGCCTCGCCCAGGGCGAGGCAGGTGCACGTGTGCAGGGAAGTGAGACAGGCATGACCTGGATCCTGGTCACGGCTGTGCATAACCGCACCTGCCTGTGTGGCTCCATCTAGCCTCCACAGGTGACAGTCTTCTGTGTTTCCTCCACAGTGCACGGCCAGCTGCGGGGGTGGGGTGCAGACCCGGACAGTGCAGTGCCGGGCAGGGGGCCAGTTGGCCGGTGGCTGCAGCGCCCACCAGAAGCCCTCGGCCTCCCTGGCCTGCAACACTCACTTCTGTCCCCTCCTGGAGAAGAAAGGTGAGTACCCTGAGCCGGGCCCTGACCTGGCCTTCTAGATTAGGGATGCCGGCTTCTGGAGTGGGTGCACTGGCTTCCGGAGCAGCTCCGAAGGGGCCTGAGAGTCACTGAGCCCCTGGCGGCCGAGTGGCCATCCACTACACCTTCGCCCCCATTTCACCTCCGCCTCTACGTTTGTCACCTTGCCCCTGCTGTTGTTCATGTTAGGTGCCGTTGAGTTGAGTTGACTCCTAACAGCCCGGTGAGATGAAGTAGTCCGGCCCCATAGGGACTCCTACCCTGTGTGTGTGATCTTTCTGGAAGCCAATCACCAGGGAGTATCTCCCACGGAGCTGCCAAGCTTTTGGTTAGCCGAGCACTTAACTGTTGCACCACCAGGGCTCTTTGATGGCCCCCACAGTTCTCCAGAAATGACGTGGGTGTCAGAGAAGAGATGATTGTGGGATGCCTCCAGGAGCAGGCAAGGGTGAGCCGCGTCTTCTGCTCCTCACCCTGTGTAAGGAGGGCAGGCTCCGATACAGACACCTGTGTCCCAAAGTCAGGCCAAAGCCAACCTGATTCTGGGCCCCCGCGGGTGCAGGCCCTCAGCTGCCTCTGCTGTCTGCAGAGATGGAGGGCCTGTCTGCTGGGGCTTGTCTGGAAAAAACGGGGTTTGGCTAAACTTGATTATTAAACTATTGAAACCCAGTCAACAGCATCTGCTGTCTTGGGTGGACTAGTGGCTAAATGTATGCATTTAGCAAAATAAAGAAGAAAATGCCAGTTTTGCAGGAAACTTCCAAGAAGGGCCTTTTGAAAATAGTGTGTTCCCCAGACCCCCATCAGACCCGAGGAGCAGGCTTCTCATAGCAATTTCAACGCAGTGACAAGCAAGCTTTTCTTTGGCAGAGTGGCCCTCACCGACTGCGCAGGCCACTGCTCAGGCGGCCCACCTAACCCACTGTGTTCCTTTCAGACACCTTCTGCAAAGACTACTTCAGCTGGTGCCCCCTGGTGCCTCAGCATGGGGTGTGCGGCCACCACTTCTATGGTTCTCAGTGCTGCCGCTCCTGCTCCAAGTCCAACCTGTGAGCGGAAGCCCGGCCTGGAGAGCTGTTCTCAGCACCAGGTAAGCGGAGCACGTCCACTGGACTGAGTCCCAGGAAGAGAGAAGCCTGAAGAGAACAAAGTCAGGCTGTCTGACACGGACTGTGTGTGCACATGTGCATGTGTGCGTGATTGTATGCGTGCGTGCACACACGTACACATGTATGCGCACACAAGAGCAATTGTGCGTGTGCGTGTGTGTACATGTGTGTGCCTGCCTGCCTGTGTGCCTGTGAGCATGTATGGGTGTATATGTGCACACATATGAGTGTGTGTATGTGTGAGTACATGTGTGCATGTGTTACATGATTGTGAGTCCGGATACATGCACTGTTTCTACTCACACATAACACACACAAAAAAAGAACATCTGTGCTCCTGTTCTGCTGAAACGTGGATCCCAACCAGGCCGACCCGCTGGAAGGCTGGGCAAGAGGGTGCGCCTTCTGCAGGGCGGGGGCAGCAGTGCACACCAATATCTGCATCTCAGACAAGTCGTGTTGAAAAGCCAGGGGGAGCTGAGCATCATAACCCTAGCCTGGGTGGTGCTTTTTAAAAGAGGAAGGAACAGGAAATGAGGAATAAGTATCTGCCACCTCCATCCCAGCCTCCATGCCCTCCTCGGAGCTCCTTCCAGTTGTCAATCACACCTGCCGGGTGGGGGATGGCAGCGGGCAGGGGAGCCCAGGGCTCTGTCCCCAGGAGAGTCCATGGCCTCTCATCGGTAGATGCTTCTACCTCCTGACGAGAGCTGGGCCATCACATCTAGGGTGCCTGCTGGGACAGAAGTGGGAGTCTGTACTCTGGTTTGGGGCTTTGCTGAGGCGGCTGGAATCAGGACCCCTTCCCCAAGGGCCTTGCACCTCTGGACTTATGTGTTGTCAGAGCAGAGATTCTCATGTTAACTTTTCTCTTCCTCAGTTATTTCAAGGGAGTGCTCTTATTTCGGCCCACTTCTTAATGCCTTTTCTTTTCTAAATGACTGATCAGAATTATAGGTTGGACCCAGAGAGAATGACAGGTTCTGCCAAAGCCCTGCTGTCCTGGTGAAGATGCTTGGTGCTACCATGGTGGAAGTCAGCCGGGTGCCTCCGAGCCTTGCGTTTGCTGTGTGTGCTGTGGGCCCTGGGCAGTCTCTGTGATGCCTGTTCAGAAAGCAGGCGGATGATATATGAGGAAGAAGAGGTACGGCTTGTCTCCAGCACGTCCCTGTCAGTACTGGTGCTGCCTTCCACCCTCCTTTCCCATGGTGTCACTCTGCTGAAAGGGCACCCGAATATTTATATTTGCTGAAGTTTTATAATAAATTTTATATTGTACAGCGTGATCCTGAGCAGCTTCGTGATTCTTCACTGGGTTCACTTCTGAGATCCCAGGACAGGCACAAAGAACTGGAGTAACTGGTCTCCAAGAGGAGAGAAGTTGCTCTGGGATGTAATAGAAAAGTCTAGAGTCAGTCTGAAGAGAAGGCACCTCAGAATGAGTGAGGGGCTGCCTGGCATGGGGCTCAGTGGGTGTCTTGTGTCTTGGGGCTGTCAAAATAAAATTCCACCAATGGGTGGCATATTAGCACATAAACTTAGGGTGTCATGGTTCTGGAGGACAGAAGTCCAAATTCAGGGTGTCAGCAGGGCCATGCTCTCTCTGTGGGCTCAGAGGGAAGACATGGCCTTACTTCTTCCAGCGTTTGTAGCCCCTGTTGTCTCTTGGCATTCCTTGCCTTGAAGACGGATCCTCACATGGCATCTTCCCCCAGGTGTGACTCTTGTCCCCCTGCCTGTTCTCCCTTTTATAAGATGCCATTCCGAGGGATGAGACACACCCTATTGCAGTATGATTTCACTCACTTAACTTGATAACATCTGCAAGAGAAACCCTCTTTCCAAACTATGTCACATCCCCAGGTACATGGGTTAGGGCTTTGGCATAGCTTTCGGGGAGACACAATGCAACCTTTAACAGTGGGGTAGGAGTTTGTGAGGGAGTGGGGGCCTGGGATGACATAGAGGGTGAGACCATGGCAGTTGGGGGACCACAGTCCATGCAGCCTCAGAGCTGGGCTTACACAGCTGCAGCTTCACAGTGTAGGTGCAGCTTCCCTGCATGGGGAGGAAACCACATTCATTAAAAGGAGGTGACCCCAGGCCCCGAGAGGTCCACTCCTCCAGATGGGTTGAAGCAGCCCTAACTGGACTCAAGAAAAGCCACTGTTGTGACTGAGATGGACAGCACCCCAGAATGTCAGCAGCTGACAGGTAGCCACGCTCACCTTCAAAATCATATTGAAAAACAAAACTCTCTGCATTGGAGTCAGACCCAACTCATATCGACTCCTCCTTGGGCTTCCAAGGCAGTATCACTACGGAAGTAGATTTCCCAACCTTCCTTCTGAGGAGTGGCTGGTGGGTTTGAACCCCCAGCCTTCTGGCTAGCAGTCAAATGTCTGAGCACTACACCACCAGAGCTCTCCCTCAAAAATTATATGGGTCTTGTAAACGATCACGGCTGTGATCACGGCACAGCAAGTCTTACTTTTCCTCATCTACTGCACGGACCCAACCTGTGAGGAGATAACCTAACCCCAGTCCACAGGGAGGAATTGAGCCAGGAAACAAACTTATGTAGCATCTCTCAGACCAGAAATCAGAAGGGAGGGCTGATCTAGGAGGCCCACAGACTCAGTGCAGCTTATTCCAAAGCCCAGAGCTGCCTGGAGCTCCACAGAGGAATGGGGCAACTCTCCAAATGCCTCCTCAAAAGAGGTTTTCAATAACCTTGATTGCACACCTACTGGTATGTGGGTGAAAGATGCAAAAGAGGCCAAGATATGATCTCCACCTTCAGGACATTGCATCCTCTGAGAGAAAATGAGGACAAATTGGTAGAGTGCAAGACAGACCACACCAGGAAGACCTGCAGAGGAGAGAGATTCCCCTCTCTCAGGGAGAATAGTGGGACAGCCTTCAGCCTGGGCATTCAAAATGGGTAAAGAGTGTGAAGAAGAGAAGCAACTGGCAGGAAAATAGCAGAATGAGGCCCCGTGGTCTGACCTGGGCTCTGTGTGGGCAGGAGGAAAAGGCTGGCAGTGCATTGGCAGGGGCTGCCCAGAGCCAAGTGTTTCCAGGCTGGGGGACTCATCAGCCAACACATGGTCAGCCTTTCTCAGCTGGGGCCAGCTTGTCTCCAGTGGGCATCTCTCCCCCTCTGGTCTGCCCTCTGACGGACACACAGAAGGCCCACCCCCCACAAGGAGGTGAAGTCTTACTTTGACTGGCCAAAGCCTTTGACTGCTCCCTCTTGTCAACATTTCAGCATCAGGATGAGGTGGGCTACATTTGTTTTAGCATGCATTTTGCATGTTTGACATGTCAAGCCTTGAGATGAGCGCTTCATGAGTGAAACCCATGAGGAGGCACCATCATGGGTCCAAGTGATGAGGAGTAGCCTACAGCTCTATCCCACACCACAGAGCTAGTAAGAGATGAGGTTGCATTTGGACCCCTAATTAGAGGGGCTCAATGGCAATAGTGAGCCTCTCCCCTGCTCTAGCACCCCCTCGTTGAGGGCCCAATCTATTTTTATTCCTCTCCCTATAAGACCTCTTTCCCTGTTGGATTGGTCAGCTTCTAGCCCATTCCAACCTCTGTGCCTTTGCTCCAACCATCTCCCATCATCTCAGAGCTCCGCCCCAAATGAAATCCTCTTCATCCATCCCAAGCCAGCCCATGATGTCCCGTCTCTTCTCATGTGTCTTCATGCGATCACATGCTGGATGGCCTTGCCCATGTGCATTTCTTATTTCCCTGTGGTTCTGGGAGTTCCACAACAGGCATCATGCCTGGACTCGCCCCCTGTACCTAGATCACAACCTACCCAT